CTGCATTTCCTGTCAAGCCCTAACTTCATAAATAATGCAATTCTGACTTTGGTGTCAATCTTTAGATAAAAAGTTTAATAGAATTTGTTAGAAGCAAGTCTCTGCTCAACAAGTAGAAGGGATATCTGTATCCACAGAACAAATTCAGAAAGTGATTTATTGAAATTCAAACCCAAAAGCAAAGACTAAATGATTTAACACTTGAGTTTAAACTTTGATGTTCTAGTGATCTACAGCATTCCCCATCTAAAAAATATCATGGCAGGAGTTCCCACCTCTGGTGTGCACCCCCAGTCCCACTGTTTTTCCTGATCCATTTAGCATGGATCTGGCAGCACAGGCCTCAGCCTGTGGGCAGCTGACCAACAGAGAGCAATCTCCATCGATTTTCTGCTTTGGTATTGCTAATTTCATGTATGTTTATAGTGGTATGATGTTCCCTGAAGGCCAAACTTAAATTTTGGATATTTGTCAAAACAAGCTAATGTTGGCCTTTTCACAACTCCACATATACATGATTTAATCTTTATGGGTTGACTATTAATGGATTTATAATGGATCATTAATAATCTTTATGGATTATTTAATCTTTATGGTTGTTCTGTATTTTTTTTTTCCTGAAATACTGTATCTTATTTTTGTGGCAAGTGAATAGGTGGAGGGCATTTATTCTAAAGTGGACCTGAAACACAGTAAAATCAGCTAGAACTCTGCAAATAAATTTTACAAATTTTCAGTCACTTCTAAAATAAGCATGTTAAACATTCATATATTTGCATTGAAAAAGCTAAGCTGATTATAGAAAACCAAAATGATTAAATCATAGGCAATTTGTGCCRACCACCCCCTTTTTAGAAGGGGCTTTTTTTCACTTGCTTTGTTTCACCAGAATACAGATTATCTATTTGAAATACATGAACTGAATGGACTTCCCATTGAGGTTAGTGTATTCTAGCATTGCAATAAAGGTTATGAAAAGATGTCCGAGCACCAGCTGGCCTTCCTTTGATCCTCTCCATTCTTGTGATGATACATTTTCACACTTAAGATGATTCCCTTCTACCTCAAAGGCTGAGAGCTGCTTTGGTCCTTACAAATATTAACTGCAATCACAATGACCTATCTTTCTGGTTCCAGTCATCTGTTTAATATAGAGTGGAAGGTCAGAACTACATTAAAAGGGTCTGAAAGGCTTTATTTCAGTATACTGCCCCATGCAGAGCTTCACAAAAAGCTGGCAGACTTGTAGTTCATGCATGCACGCTCCTCAGCACTGCATTGTGYGCTTCTATTAATGGGCTTTTGTAACCTTCCAGGAAAAAATTCCCTCACCAAGTGAACAAAACTGTTGTCAGATCTGAACACACATGTGAATATCAACTACCAAAAAATAATAAAAAAAACCCCAACATTTAAACAGTAGGGGTACTGTCTTCAGAAAAAAAACATGTCTGAGTCACTATCTTGTGTCTCCACTAGGCTGTGTTTTAAAGGTAGTTTTTAATCTGTTTCCTAGGATGGAGATTTAATAGCAGAGGTGGAAACCAACTGTTTAGAGAAGGCAAATTCAATAATAGATGTCAGGAAGGATTAATGAATAAGGCTATGGGCCAGAAAGCACAAGCCTGTGTGTACCAATACAAAGAAATCTATTTGCAGCASAGTGGAGCACAGGTCACTTTGGAGTCATTAGCATACGGAATTACCAAATAGCTGCATCTGAGGCACTTCAGTTGTCCTTACAACACATTTCCCAAGCTATCCCATTTTCCCTTTGCATCTGTCTATAAAGCTCATGTTTATTTGCTTTCTCTTAAGTCTTCTGCTCAAGCAGGACCRTCTACACATTTTGCCATGTTTATCTAACATACTACTTCTCAAACCAGCTCTTCAGCAAGAAAGCTAATATCCAAAATCCTAGCACACACCCCAAAACATGGAGATTTTACCTATATGCCTCGACACTTTTCCTTACTGAGCTTGACTGTGTTAACCTCTGGTCTGGACCATGAGGGGTGGGTAAGTGGCATGAAGTGAGCAGCAAGAATTGAATGCAGCTGTCCACGTATGAATGGAGCTACCCACAGTGGGGAAGACAATGCCAGGGAAGAAAAAAGTRGATTCCAGAAGCAAATGGCCTATGGGGCCAGTTCCACTTGCTTCACACTCATTTTGTCTTAAATTTGGCTTGCTCTTGTAGATACCACTTAGATGTTTTGGGAATGCTTCATGTGTAGCAATTACTTTCCTGTAAAATTATCAACAGGAGCTTAAGTGTGTTTGAATTTGCTGAAGAAGCCATGGAAACAAAGCACAAGTACTCTGTTCTAAAACTCAGCCTCTCAATTCGAGAAACATCTAGTAAACCAGGTTAAAAGAGAGTGTGAGAGAATACAGATGAAGTGTCAGACCACAATAACACTTTGTGCCCAATGGCAACAGGCAATAAACAAACAGTAAGTCCTTCATAATGAAGTTCTTCCTCCTTTAACAACTTTTTCAATTCTAACTAGACAATAGGTCTCAAACAGAGGTCGGGTTTTTTTTTTTTTTTGGAGGGGAGTTACTTGAACTTAAATGTAATTATGTGATGTCTCCTATTTCTATGTACACRCAGTAAAAATTCTCACATAAAAATGGCAGGTTACATTTTGTACAGATTTAATGCCCTTAAATAATCAGAATAACCACAGTAATGCCTTCCAAAGTTAAAACAATAATTTGACTGTTTTTTATATTGTTCAGGACTCAAATGACAAATACATTTGCACTGAACAAACCCAAAAGAAGCCCTGAGTGGCCACCTGCATCTTCTGCAAACAAAAGTAATTCAAGTTTGCAAGAAGAGCAGCTCTGAGCTGGAGGATAATTATACGAATAAACAGCAA